AGTAGCGCGCAACTACAGCGTCGTACAAGGTCTGAGCACTCTTGTACTGACTAAAGTGCGCACGCTCAGAGGTAGGGAGGTGGCGACGCACAGCAAGACGTGCAGCAGCATCGCGGGTGGCCCACTTAGAGCGGACAGCGGGATCAGCATCAGCAGAAGGAGCAGGAGAGGCGCCAGAGGTGAGATCAAAGAGAGAAAGGTCGTCAGCCCTGTCGCACTGTAAGAACAGCTGCAGGTCGTCTAACCAGACCTCAAAATCAATGGCGCGACCCTCAGCGTCAAAAGCTAGGACACTGGGGGTAGCCATGGCGACGACAGCGACGCAGTGCAAGCAGCAGGGAAAGAGCTCGCAGTGGCAGTGGGACTGTGCTCACCAGGCAGGGCAGGTCGAGTAGGTATGCAGAAAGGCGGCTCAGCGACCTGGCGGCTCGGGTGCTGGGTGGCTCGGGCGCAGGGCGGCTCGGGCGCAGGGCGGCTCGGCTCCCGGGCGGCTCGGCTCCCGGGCGGCTCGGCGGCTGGGCGGCTCGGGTGCAGGGCGGCTCGGCTCCCGGGCGGCTCGGCGGCAGGGCGGCTCGGGTCCCGGGCGGCTCGGCGTCGGGCGACTCGGCTCACGGGCGGTTCGGCTGCTGGGGCGGCTCGGCCAGGAGATCCAGGGGCGGGGCCGTCAGGTGCAGCGGCGGGTTGACCGGTGCAGTGGCGGGCCGGCAGGTGCAGCGGCGGGCCGGCAGGTGCAGCGGCGGGCCGGCAGGTGCAGTGGCGGGCCGGCAGGTGGAGGCGGCGGGCCGTAGGGTGCAGTGGCGGGCCGGCAGGTGCAGCGGCGAGGCCGACAGAGGCGGCGGGCCGGCAGGTGCAGCGGCGAGGCCGTCAGAGGCGGCGGGCCGCTGGGTGCAGCGGCGGGCCGGCAGGTGCAGTGGCGGGCCGGCAGGAGCAGCGGCGGGCCGGCAGGGGAGGCGGCGGAGCCGAGTCAGGGGAGGCGGCAGGGCCGCGTCAGGGGAGGCGACGGAGCCGCGTCAGGGGAGGCGGCGGTGCCGCGTCAGGGGAGGCGGCGGAGCCGCGTCAGGGGAGGCGGCGGGGCCGCGTCAGGGAAGGCGGCGGGGCCGCGTCAAACAGGCGGCGGGGCCGCGTCAGGGGAGGCGGCGGAGCCGCTTCAGGGGAGGCGGCAGGGCCGCGTCAGGGGAGGCGGCGGGGCCGCGTCAAACAGGCGGCGGGGCCGCGATCAAGAGAGGTGGCGGGGCCGCGTCTGAGGGACAGCGGGGCCGCGAGGGAAAGGGCGACCCGAGGGGTCGCTTAAAAAAAAAGGCGCGCCTCGGGGCGCGCTTCGGTGGGCCCTAAAAAAACGGTCCTAAGGTAGGACCCGCTCTATACCATGTGAAACAAGGAAAACGGGAAATGGAATGACTAAGGAAAGATTGGGTACAAATACAACCCTAGAAACCCTGTACCCCATATGTGCTACCCCACTATAGCCTACAGCAACTATGTCATATAAATCTGACATTATACAATGTACATCACGCCATCAGAGGCAAATTACATAGCATTACTATGTTGGAAACACCTTTCGGCGGCCACGTCACGTATGCCAACGGCTGGCACAACACACCTTTTAGTGGCCAATGGGAAATCGCCGCACCGAACCAACGCTCTATCCCAGCCACGTTCATAGAACCGCCGCTGTGCTGGATAGGGTTAGGGGTGTCACCCTCGAGTGTTGCCGCGTGGCTTTGTACGCGTGGCTACGTCACGTGCAATGAACCTGGTTGCGTGGTATTTGGAGTGTGCACTAGCGGGCGAGCACACAGAGAAAAGTCTGCTCGACTTGAAGACCAAGGCGCACCGGTGAGTGGTGTTCGTTGCAATGCTTGACACGTCTTTATCATTCACCCTCCGTGCCAAATCTGAATCATCCACTCTTTCTTGTGCAGGATGATACACGGCCTGACGACGCATTTCAAGCAGGCATCAGATTGGAACTTCATCAAAATGCACCTGATTAGCCACTTCATAGATTCGATCCGTCGTGCAGGATTGCCAGAGCACTACTCCGCCCAGCTCTACGAGCACTTGCACATAGAGTTCATCAAAACACCATATCGCGCATCTAACAAGCGCACAGTGAACGCACAGGTTGTACAGAGCGAGGAGCAGCGCTTGCGATTGCAAGCAATCGCACCCATGCTTCGCGCGAAGAAGGCGTACGACACAGTGATGATCAAGGTGCGTGTCAGGTGGTTATTTTGTCGTGTCATTTGCATCATCGTTCGTTAACACGGTTTAACGTGGTGGTAGTATTCCCATTTCTCCCGCAGGCACAAAGGACGGGCGTGCGAGTGCTCTCGCGTCGATCTTGGCTCCTCCACGTTCCCCGCTGCAGGGAGGCGGCACCTTTCTGCATCCCGAATGCGCCACAGGCGAATCGTGATGCGATGCTCGAGAAGGAAATTGGGCCTGATCTAAAACACCTGCGGACGGCGCTGAACGCAGCCCCTGGGTGCAACAACAAGGGGGAGGACATCGCGAGCATACAGGTGTGTTATGTTCATCAGTTCTACTAGTGACGAATCACCATGTCCCTTCAGTCCATAGATGCGAATGGTTGTGATACGTAGAATGTGTATTGTGTCTTCGTGTCAGGTGCATTGGGAAATGGCCATGCCATCGGCGGCCGACGCACAGTACAGCCGATTGCCTCATCGAGTGCGTGCCCTGCCGAGACACCATGGGCGGCCATGGTATTCAGACGTGGCCGTGAAGGGTGAGACAGAGGCCGGCCACGAGGAGTGGTATGCAAAGGTCCTACTGATGTTTCACTGCAAGGTGGATGGGCAGACAAAGGAGTACGCATATATCAAGTACTATGACGTGCAACCCGCATTAGATAGCGACACCAAGTGCAAGCGCCTGAAATGGCCCCCACTTGCAGCTAGGTATCAAGTGATTGAGATACATAGCATCAAGCGGGCTATGCATCTGATTCAGTTAGATAGGACTGTAGATATGTGGCTGGTGAACCGTTTCGCATGATGATGTAATGCTAGACGCTGTGAATGACACCAAACTTGTCCAGCATGCTCATCGTTATACAAACATGTCGTCGCTTGATCTTCCACTATTTCTTCACACACTTCTCATCATCACCCTATTACCTAGCCATAGGATGTTATTCCATCTCGTTAGCACAACTACACAGCTCATGGAGCATGTTTGTGCGTTTGCTGGCCCGAATCTGTGCGTGGATAGGCCAGCGCGCAACATGTCACTGCGCTAACGTCTAGATGCTATTGTTTCCACTATTTCTTCACACTGTTATCCTCATCATCCTATTACCTAGCCATAGGATCTGATTTCATCTCGTTTGCACTACTACACAGCTGGTGGCGCATGTTTGTGCGTTTGATGGCATGAATGTGCGTGCGGATGTGCCTTTGCGCAACATGTCACCGCGCCAACATCTGGATGCTATTTTTTCCACTATTTCTCCACACAATTCTCATCATCATCCTATTACCTAGCCATAGGAACTGATTTCATCTGGTTAGCACCACTACACAGCTCGTGGCGCATGATTGTGCGTTTGCTGGCCCGAATCTGCGCGAGGATATGCCTATGCGCAACATGTCATTGCGCCAACGTCTAGATGCCTTTTTTCCCCTATTTCTTATAAAGTTACCTAGTACATGATATTTCGTAGCCATAGGAACTGGTTTGAGCTCATTCGCACAACTACGCAGCACATGACACTCGTATGTGCGTTTACTACCCTACAACTATGCAAAGGTAGGCCTGTACGCAACGTGTCACTGTTTCAACGTCTCAGTGTTACTTTTACCTCGATTTCTTCACACGGTTCGCTAGTACATCATATTGTTTGACGGTAGAAACTGGATTGAGATCATTCGCACAAGTACACAGCACGCGCCGCATGTCTGTGCAGTTGGTGGCCCGAAACTGTGCAAGCACAGACCTGTGCGCAACATGTCACCGCACGCTCGGTTGGATGGTTTTTTAAACAGTATTTCTTCACACAGTTCTCTACTACCTCCTACTCCCTTGCCGTAGGAAGTGGTTTGACATCGCTCCACAAATGTAGTTTGATGTGTCGTATTAGTGACACTTGTATATTGACTAACACCAATATTTAGGCATACATGGATCACGTACAATTTAAAAGGTTAGTTCATTAACTACCTGCTTAAAAAGTTTGAAAACACACACTTAAAGTGCAACAAAAGAATACAGATATCATGTTAGGGCAGGGCAATAATGTTAATAAGTATAGAACCACCTGGTTATTCGTGCGAAGGTTACCGAGTGTACATTGCGCCGGTTGGGAAATTACATAGCATAACTATGTTGGAAACTCCATTCCCTGGCCGCGTCACGGCTGCCATTGGCTAATAGGAAACCGCAGAGGTGAACCAACGCATCATTATCCAGCCACGTTCATACAGCTGCCTCTGTGCTGGATAGGGTGAGGGGTGTCACAGGCGGGGTAGTTGCCGCGTGGCTTTGCATAGGTGGCTAAGTTTTGTGCAATGAACCTGGTTGCCTGGTTGCGTGGTTCATTTCCGTACTGAGCTGTGGTGCCCCACTCTCGAAACTTCCAATTACCTGTCGTGCTGTATAAGTGAAGATTCCATCTTCACGGTGTGGATTGATCGAGAGCCACATTTCTGCTGACAGCATTCGCACTGACGGTTGCGATCTAATCGTACATTCATTTGAGCAGAAACGTGCACCGTCATGTACATCTGACGGCTCCGGACCATGGGGCTGTCAAGATGCTCGCACCGCACGCGGCGTGGCCAGCCGACCTCGCGCAAGCCAACCAATCATCGGAGGTCGCAACATATTTGCCCGATTTTTTTGCTGACGTTTCACTCCCGAAGAGGAATAGGCGGTCATAACATTTTCGTGCAAGTTTTGATTCTTCCGAAGTATCATTACACCTGGTATATGAAGCCGTTATCTTCACATACGATGATATATCGTCGTATACGATGGGGGAAGTAGAAGAAACAAATTATCGGCCAGGGAATGGGCTGACCAGAAGGGTTCAGGGGGTGGGCGAGGGGCTGGAGGGGGTCACGCTTCCATCGCCATTTGCAGCAGAAATGACTGAAGCTGAAGCAGATGCACTTGTGAACAACCACCGAGCCCTCTACCAGCAAGCTCTCAAGCGCCGTGAGACGATTGCTAGCAGCGTCGCCAAGACCAAGTGTGTTCACACCCTCTCTGGTGTGCCGGTTCCTCAGAAAAAATCCCGCGCCGCTAAGTCCGGTGGGCAGAAAGGCAAGCGGAGGAGGAAGGCTGGAGCTACTACAGGCAGTCAAGCTGACTTACCTGCTCCCGCGTCGACCGAGGAGGAGCTTGTCACAGACGGGCTCCCGGACCTCCCTCTGCCAGCAAGTTCCCAGCAGCAGCAGCAGACCGTTACGAACCTGAACCCTCTGCCCGCGGGTTCTCAGCAGCAGCTTCTCGCGAGCTCTCTCCCGAACCGTCCTCGTCCCGCGACTCGCCAGCAGCAGCTTTTTACAACTACCCAGCAGCAGCAGCAGCAGCAGCAGCAGCAGCAGCAGCAGCAGCAGCAGCAGCAGCAGCCTGTCGCTGCCCAGCAGCAGCAGCAGCCTGTTGCTTCCCAGCAGCAGCAGCAGCAGCCTGTTGCTTTCCCAACGCAGCAGCAGCAGCCTGTTGCTTCCCAGCAGCAGCAGCAGCAGCAGCTTGTTGCTTCCCAGCAGCAGCAGCAGCAGCAGCAGCTGCCTGTTTTTTCCCACCAGCAGCAGCAGCAGCCTGTTGCTTCCCAGCAACAGCAGCAGCACAACCTTGAGTTTCTCGCTGACGCAACCACCGGCGCGCTGGCTGAGGATTTCTCGACGGATAACCGCTCCGCCTTCGATAAGGAGCTGGACGAGGGGCTGGACGAGGAGCAGGACGAGGAGCAGGAAGAGGATGACGAGGAGGATTCTGAGGACGAAGCTGGTGCCGAACAGCATCAGCAGCAGCTTGCTCAGCAGCAGCAACAGCTGGGCGTCGAACAAAACGGTGCCGTCCGCGGAACACGGTCGGAAGGTGAGTGTATTCTTGGAACATTTGACCTGTTCTATTTTTCCAGCTGTGATGTTAAGTTTTTGTTTGATTGTTATTTCATACTGAACTTGTCGTTGGTTCCTATTTGCAGCTGTCAATGCGCACTGGGCCAGACAGAATCGCGCACTGCAGGCGCAGGTTGAAGATCTTAAAGCAACCGTTGACATCCTGCAGATTTCGCAAGTTGAAGCGCAGCAGAAGCTTGCCGCCGCCAACTCTGAGTGCGAAATCCTGCGTTCCCGACTGGGTGAGCTTGAGGCGCAACAGGCGGGCGGGGTGTCGGAGATGTCTTCAGACGGCCCAATTGTCAACCCGGCAAATCTCACAAGGGACAACAATGGCAACGTGATTTTGAAGACAAGCCTCGAAAAGAAGGAGTTTGCGGTAAGTCTTGGTTCTTATGGAACATTCGCTGTTTGACCGTCCGTGTGTTAAATATTCGTGTGCTGGTATTTAGACGGCCCTACCATGGTCATCTGCTTGTAATAATGTTTCTGCTGTTTACCCGTTTATTCGACTGCAGGTAAAGGCTCTCGACACTTTCACGTGGCTGATAACAGACGCGCCAGTGGAGTGCATGGAGTTCTTCCCAACATTTGAAGTCTTCCAACCTCACCTCATCACCAAGTACCAGCTGTGTGGAGTGAATCGCGACGAGTATTTCTACGCGACTGGCGGCAGAATCGAGTTCGAGAAGCTGGTGATGAAGGTCATCAAAACGAAACGTTCAAACACCCACAAGAAGGTTCGTTTCTATGCATGGGGCGCGGGTGGGTTGGTGGATGAGAGCAAGTGGCCGTTGCTGGCGGTGGAGCAGATCATTCCTTCTAAGAAGCGCACGGAAGAGAAGTGGCTGGAAGAATTCAGGCATGGTAAGAAGCACGGTATTAGTGTTTTTATTTATGGTTTTTGAACAGTACACTAATCTACTTGTTGTTTCCTGTGCAGCTGTACTTGGATATGCGTGGCATGTTAATGGCGAAGGAATTCCCTTTGCTAACATTGCTTTTGAGAAGGCTGCTTTGGCTGCATTCTCTGTTGTCACGTCCTCTATGGTCTACGTGAAGATTCCCATGGTGGCTTACCTTTGTGTCGTGGTAAGTTTCTTGCTTAGTATTTTAACGTTACCTGAAGCTTAGCCACTAACAGCTGTTTCTTGTGCATCCGTGCAGGTTGAAGCCCCCCTTGAAAGCTACAGGCCGGGGAATGGCCAGCCTTCTCTTGGTGGTGTTCCGCAGACCAACAGTAACCTGGTCCGTGCCAAGACTACTGTTGTTGTGGCGGCTCTACACGCCGCGATGGTCAACAATCCCACCTTCTTGAAGCATGATGAACCCAAGGGCTTGGTGCTGGGTTCTGGGAAGGTGCGAATTCTGATTGAAGGATGGGAGCGTGTTTTTCTGTAGTCTGTTGGTGTGTAGATGTGGTAGTGTGTAGGTGTGTAGGTTAAATCCCGTAGTGCCTTTTAGCCGCTCATTTGTACTGATTTCTAATTATGAGCTAATTTTAGAAATTTATAATTTTATTTATTTTAATTGAAAGGAATCATTCATTAATTGACAAGTGCAGTATATAACGTTCCATTCTATATTGGTTTTGAACTTTGTAACATATCAAGTTACCAGGTTGCTGGCACAATCCAGACATCTTAATCATATTTAAGAATTTTCTGAATACAGGAGAAGTAACAGAAATTGTTACGTGTTACGCACTGGTAACCAACACTTTCCTGTTCTTTCGCCTCTGCTGTTGACGCGACGGTAAATCGACTCCAACCACGGTTAACGCGCGGGATGTCACAGTAAATTCCGGTTGATGTAAACCTAGGCCTCGATACTTCTCGGTCGTAACTGGGGGTACTGGGCAACTAATCGAAATTTATGACAAGTCACGCTAGGTCACTGTAGCACAGTTTTCGCGCGTTAACGGTGATCTTGACCCCCCTCTGTTTTCGATGTACATTGGGCAATACCCTTGGTCGTTTATTGCGGTGGGAAGAAACCACAATCTGCACGTCATACATCCCAGGCATGTCGGAGTTTACCACTCAATGCTGCGTTCCCATTTTTCTGATGTCTGTTTCGCGATTAGGTAGTAGACGGCCAGGGCATTCCAAAAAGTACGGCCAGGCATTCCACAAAACTTTCGGCCTCACTGTTTCGAACGTTTCCTGGGCTTAGAAACGTTTCCTGTTCCAAACATATTCATGTCAAGCTCTCGAGTTCGACGGACATCTACACATGATGCCCAGCCCGTGCACTCGAATTTGCCTTGTACCAGATGGAAACGCTGCACCCGAGGTTTTGCCCCCGGGATGTTGCTCCCACGGTACAGGCACATAGATGGCATAGCACAGTGGACGCGCTTCGACCAAAACTGAACGTGCATCACAGACCAAACCAGGTTGGCCCAGATTTGCCTTGTTTCTAGGCTAGAGTACAGACTTGCGAAAGGGGTGGACGAAACGTCGTCAGCATCGTGCGTGCATTCGCCTGACGCTCATACCATTTGTCATTGATAACACCTGGTAACAAAGAGCACCCACTAATGCCAAGTGTGGCCAACCCACACTGTTACGGAACAGACAAATAAGCTGGTTACGAATATTTTTTAGAAGCACTTTACAAGTGTAACGAAACCTACGAACACTGACGAAACGCAAGTGTAGTTTATTAGCCTTCTTAACAAGGCAACAGGGAGTGTTCAAACGGGCATCATGTGTAGCATACGCGCTATACAGTTCAGTAGAACCATCCCACGTTAATCCAGCCAATTGATGGAACCCGCCAGATTGGCAACATCCCACTCGGCCAATGACGCACCTAACCTGATCATGCCAAAGAGGCCAAAGCAAATGGGGCAATGCCTCTGCTTTACCTGACCTGATCAAGCCGGACAAGTGAGATTGCCTACCAGCCACACAAGGCGGGAACCTTGGAGATACACATGATGCCCAACCACTGCGCGCGAATTTGCCTTGCACATTTCAGAAACTCTGCACCCGTGTTTTTTTTCCCACTCAGCTGCACCCAGGTTATAGGCACGCGGATCAACTTGCATTTGGGCGAGGAAACGCCAAAGTATGAACCTTAGGCGCAAAACAAACCATGCTGACCCGGTAGGTTCTTGTTTCTTGGCCAGAAACAAGCATAAACCCAAAACCCTGAACTGACAACAACGCAGGCCCACCAGCACTGTTTTGGCAAAAACAAACGCGTTACAACCTGTGTTTTTTAGAAGCACCTCAACACCCTGGCGAAATGCAACGAACTAGGCGAAATGCCTAAAACGTTTAAGAGCCTAGAGAACCACCCAAGTACGGGGGACTCTAACGAGCATCAGGTGTATAAGGTTGGGTGCTGGTCTTGGGTTGTGGAGTTTGAAGGCGACAAGTCGACGACCAGCCTGATCTTCCGAAAGTTACGTACAGAGTGACTCCGTAAGGGATTAGAAATCTCCTTACAGTTCACATAACATTGTAGTGTAGGATTGCTTTGTGGAATAGCATTTAAGGTACATATATCTACAATCCTGTGCTAATCAAAGAAATAATGGAACAAAGACACCAGCCACCGTTCAGCAACACCAAACCCCTGAATCGCAATGCTGCCAAGGTTTTGTCCCCAATTTGCACTCATCAGCAGGGCCCAAATTATCAGGGTAAAATATCCTGTTTGCCCTGATGGGCGGCCGCTTTTTCCCAGTTGCTCTTTTCAAAACAGGGTATCAAACTTTTTACCCTAGAGCAACAGGCTAAGTTTCGGTTTACACTGATAGCGATTTTGGTTACCCTGGCGGTATCAGGGTACACTGTACATTATACTGATACCGAATCCTCCGTAGCGAGGTTTTTCCTTGCGATGCCGCAAAACTTTGGGACGGCACTGGAACCCGAACTTCCGGTCTTACGATACCTAGACTAACATCTCACCAGCTGAGACACGTCCTGTTATCTCTTATAATAAACTACACCTCAGTATACAATAATTTGTACACTGTCATAATCAGTAAAAAATGGAAGGCAGGGCTGCACAACATTCCAAGCACTGCCGCCACTTCCAATTTATCAAACACCCAAACCAAGTTTTGCACAGACGGCAGCACCACATCCTGTTGCACAAAAGCTGACCACAGCATTGCTGCAACCTACACAACACAAGTGTTGTAGGCAATGCTGCAGCACACTGACTGCCGTTTCATGCGCTGTCACAGGAGCAGCAGGTTGATGTCGTGCACACGCACACAGAATGAAGTAGCAGCTGTCAGATTTATATGACATAGCTGTTGTAGGCTATAGTGGGGTAGCACATATGGGGTACAGGTTTCTAGGGTTGTATTTGTACCCAATCTTTCCTTAGTCAATTCATTCCTGTTCTTTAGTTTCACATGGTATAGAGCAGGTTCCCTGTGGGAACTTCGCCTAGGGCCCACCACTCGATATTTTTCCTGCCCGAAGCGCACTCGTTCCGAGTCGCGCCTCGGGCCTTTCTCTTACCGAGCCGCCCTAGCGGCCGACCCTTACCTCGCGGCCCCGCCGCCTCATCACGCGGCCCCGCCTCCTTTTTCCTCGCGGCCCCGCCGCACCTTCCCTGCGGCCCCGCCGCCCTGTCGAGCGGCCCCGCCGCCCTTTCGAGCGGCCCCGCCGCCCTTTCGAGCGGCCCCGCCGCCCTTTCGAGTGGCCCCGCCGCCCTTCGTCGAGTGGCCCCACCGCCCTTTCTAGCGGCCCCGCCGCCCTTCGTCGACCGGCCCCGCCGCCCTTTCCACGCGGCCCTACCGCCGCCCAACCTGCGGCTCTTCGCCGCCCTACCTGCGGCCCTCATGCCGCCCTTCCTACGGCCCACCGGCCGCCCTATCTACGGCCCACCTGCCGCCCTACCTGCGGCCCTACCGCCGCCCCAACATGCGGCCCTTCGCCGCCCTACTGCGGCCCTCACGCCGCCCTATCTGCGGCCCTACAGCCGCCCTACCTGCGGCCCACCAGCCGCCCTACCTGCGGCCCTACCGCCGCCCTACCTGCGGCCCTTAGCCGCCCTACCTGCGGCCTAACGCCGCCCTACCCGCGGCCCTACCACCGCCCTACCCGCGGCCCTACCGCCGCTCTACCTGCGGCTCACCCGCCGCCCCACCTGCGGCCCACACGCCGCCTCACCTGCGGCCCACCCGCCGCCCCACCTGCGGCCCACCCGCCGCCTCACCTGCGGCCCACCTGCCGCCTCACCTGCGGCCCACCCGCCGCCTCACCTGCGGCCCACCCGCCGCCTCACCTGCGGCCCACCTACCGCCTCACCTGCGGCCCACCCGCCGCCCTACCTGCGGTCCGCCTGCCGCCCTACCAGCGGCCCAGCCGCCCTACCTACGCGGCCCAGCACCGGCCGAGCCGCCCAGCAGCAGCCGAGCCGCCCAGCAGCAGCCGAGCCGCCCAGCAGCAGCCGAGCCGCCCAGCAGCAGCCGAGCCGCCCAGCAGCAGCCGAGCCGCCCAGGAGCAGCCGAGCCGCCCAGGAGCCGCCGAGCCGCCCAGGAGCCGCCGAGCCGCCCAGGAGCAGCCAAGCCGCCCAGGAGCCGCCGAGCCGCCCTGCCACCGGACCGCCCGACCTGTCCTGTCTGGTGAGCACGGCACCGCCCCACTGCTACTGCGTCCCCTTCCCCACTGCTTGCACTGCTAGTCTGTCGTCATGGCTACCCCCAGTGTCCTCACTTTTGACGCTGAGGGTCGAGCCATTGACTTTGAGGTCTGGGTCGACGACCTGCAACTGTTCTTACAGTGCGATAGAGCTGACGGCCTTTCCCTCTTTGACCTCACCTCTGGCGCCTCTCCTGCCCCTGCTGCTGATGCTGACCCCACTGTTCGCTCTCAGTGGGCCACCCGCGATGCTGCTGCACGTCTTGCTGTGCGTCGCCACTTGCCCACCACTGAGCGCGCGCACTTTAGTCAGTACAAGAGTGCTCAGACCTTGTACGACGCTGTAGTTGCGCGCTACTCTTCCCCTGCCACCGCTGCATTGAGCTGTCTCATGCTACCGTACCTCTTTCCTGACCTCACTGCCTTTCCCACTGTTGCTGACCTCGTTACGCACCTCCGCACTAGTGACACTCGCTACCGCGCCGCCCTTCCTGCTGAGTTCTGCGCCAAGAACCCCCCCCCCATGTACATCGCTCTCTATTACATAGTCACTCGTCTCCCTGACTCCCTTCGCGTAGTCAGGGACCACTTCCTCTCAATCTGTCCCACCACCCTCACTGTCGACCTCCTCGAGAAGGCCCTCCTAGCAGCGGAGAAGAGCATAGTCGCTGTAGGAGCCTCTCGTGGGGACCCGCGCACCCCCATCTTTGAGGGGTGTTCTCCTTCCCCCCTGCTGCCCTCTGTTGCCTCTGCTGCTGCTGCCGACCTGCTTGGTCTTGAGTCGGT